GACAGGAAGAACAGCCGCGCATCCGGGCCGGCGCCGCGCGCGAGGAGCAGAGACGAGAGTCCGCCAGCGGGCCAGAGCGTCCCGCCGGGACTCCCAGCGTTCCTTGCGGCTCACAGCCGTTCCCATGGCAGCGCGGGGTCAGGGCGGGGCCCGATTTCCCGGAGGCCAGCGCTGATTGGTGAAAAGCTCTGTCTATCATCCCACAACGCTTCCCATTGGCTGCGGCGGGCGGAAGGGGCGGTGGCGGATGGCGGCGGTAGCGGCGGGGCGGGTGCGGGGATGGACGGCGGCGAAGCGGGCGGTGGTGGCGGGGGGCTTCTGCAGCAGATCCTCAGCCTTCGCCTCGTGCCCCGCGTGGGCAATGGCACCACCACCTACTCCAGTCCGCTCTCTACCTTCCCAGGTACCTCCCTGCTCGGAGCGGCCTCCGCCCGCCGGGGCCGCTGGAGGCCTGCGGGCCGCGGGCCGCCCTCACAGCCCTTTTCTCCGCAGAGATGTGGTACGGCGTCTTCCTGTGGGCAGTCGTCTCCTCCCTTGCCTTCCACGTCCCGGCCGCGCTGCTTGCCCTCTTCACGCTCCGGCACCACAAGTACGGCAGGTTCATGTCCGTGAGCGTGCTGCTGATGGGCATCGTGGGACCCATCACCGCCGGCACCCTCACAAGTACGGCAGGGCCGGGGGCTGCCTTCGGGAGCGCGTGGGATGGCGGTGTTCCCTGGGATGGAGATTTCCGTTCTGGCTTTATTTCCCCTTTGCCCCACGTCTGAAAGTGTTGGACCCCGTGTCACGCCCTGCCCCGGGGATACAAAATGTGCCCAGTAGGTGCAGAGCCAAGGGGCCTTTCACATTTCTGAGCACCTGGAGGAAAATCTCTCAGGTTTGGTGTCAGTGTCCAGACCTGGGTAACGTTTGCAGCCTGTGGGCTGTGCAGGGGGGATCTTGTGACAAAGGTGTGTCCCAAACCATCCCAGCCCCTACACCTGCTGGAGGCCTCAGCAGTTTCAGCTCCAGTTCACCCATTGCCACCGGCACGCTCTGGTTCCTGGCTGAGGTTTGTCAGCCATCCCCAGCCCAGCATTCCTGCCTGCTGGTGAGCAGGGAGAGGTTCAGACCCCGCTGTTCTCTGCCCCAGCCTCACATCCTGAGGCTCCCCCCTCATCCCTGTGCAGAGCAGCTGTCTCACATTCACATCTTGGCTTTTCCCCCTCTCCACAGGTGCTGCCATTGCTGGAGTTTACAGAGCTGCGGGGAAAAAAATGATTCCCTTTGAGGCCCTCATTTTTGGCGTGGGCCAGACGTTCTGTGTGGTGGTGGTTTCCTTCCTGCGCATTCTGGCCACTCTGTAGCTCCTCTGGAGAGGCTGGAGAGCACAAACCAGAGGGGGAGCACAGGACTGCTGCCTCAGAACAAATCACAGGGAGCACAGTTCCAGTCTTGTGTTTCTTCTGCTGATTTAAGGAATTGGGACGGCTTGGTCCTGCCTCCAGCCAGGCTTGAAATTTTAAAATTGTGAAGTTTGTTACTTTTTGGTAACATTAAGTGCCAAGTGAAACTTTATTTCTCTGGAGGGTAGAAAAATGGCTCACAGAGGGGGAGACCCGGGTACCTGTCACCAGTGATCAATTGTAGTAACAGGACATGACTAAAATGGGACACCAGCTGTGCTGGGGTAGGAACAGGACCAGAGTGACATCGTGTCCTCACAGCTCACTCGCCACTTTGTTGCTTGGTTTTCGGTGAACATGAAACTATTTTAATCTCAGATTTTAAATTTAAAAATTGTTTTCTTCCTGGTCCAAACTTTTTAATACCAGGTCATAGCCATAGTGGATTTGGGAGCAGCAAAAGGAAAACTCATTTTAGATGGATGAGAGTGCAGATTTGTGTCTGGGAGCTCTGACTGTGAATGCTGCACAGGGGAAATGACTGGTATAGAAAAGATTTTATGGATTTTATTGCAGCCAAGCTCTTCTGGCCCTGTGAATGTTTTGCTCAGAGGCAGAGTGGAATAGGCACTCCAGAAATCCCAGGTGTGCATGTGGGCGTGCACAGCTCTCCTCAGGCTTTGAAGGAGGCTTGTGTTTTCAAAGGATCCTGTTCTCCTTTGACTTGCTGATGCTGTTCATGTTGGTGTGCTGGAGCTGTCTGCACTGGTCTGGAGGTGGCACTTTTATCCAGCTTGGATAAAATCCCTGCTGCTGCTGCTGAGAGCTGCCTGGCCAGGCTGGGCTGTGACTGGGGTGTCCCCAGGGCAGCATCCAGCCCATGGTGTGCTGGGAGAGCTGCAGGGCTCCTGGCAGGAGCCTGGGTGGTTCCTGTGTCCATGTGAACACAAATCAACCCTTCTCCACAGGCAGCACTGTCTCCTCATGAATTGTTTTAGTTTGTTTTGGTTTTAAGTGACTTTTAACTAATTGGTAGCTCTGCATTGTGCCCAGAGTTGTGCTGCATGGCTGGGACACTTGAGCAGCTCACTGGGTGCTTCCTGGGGCTTGGTTCTTTGGGGAAGCTGAGGCTGAATTCCAGGGATGTGGCTGGGCAGTGCAGCCACCCCTAGGGGTTTGCTGTGGTCTGTGTTTGTACCCAGCTCACACGTATGGGCCCCAGAGGGGAAGCACTGTCTGTCTCCAGCCTTTCAGGGGACAGTTCCCATCTGTGTCTTCATTGAATTCCTCTGGTTTCCAAATCAGTTCCTTTTGTACCAGTAGCATTCCTAGGGCCATTTATCTACCATGTCCTCAGTGCTGGAATGACTGGACGTGGCACTTAGTGCCATGGTTTGGATGACACAGTGGTGACCAGTCAAAGGTTGGACTGGATCTTAGAGGGCTTTTCTAAACTAAATTGATTCTGTGACCCTTCAACAGGGCACTGTGTTTATCATGGAAAAGGGTTTCTCTGGGCATGGACTCCTCAAGAGTGATGTGTCAATGGTGGGAGGTGTTTTGCAGGAGCTACTGAGATTACTCTAAATTTTAGCCTATGTTAATTCAGGGAATATAGATGCACAGTTTAGGAAATCATTTAATGTGAATCCTTCTCCTTAGGTGGGTGAGGTCCAAGTGATGTAACATACACTAAACCCTGGATCTGTGGAGAGCCCTGTGTGCTGTGCTGCTTGCAGAGAGCCAGTCTTCCTGCCAGGGCAGAAACAATGAAAGAGAAGGAATAAGATTTCTTTCTTTTCCCCCTTCCCACTTCGTATTTCAGCATGTGTACAGAGTGCACAGTTTAATTTACAGGAGTTATCCTGTGTTTTCCTGGATGGATTAAAATTATCTCATGGAATTTGAATAGGGTGGGTCTGGCTTTACCTTTCAGGTGACACCAGACACCAATGTCCTGAGCAACTGCTGTGCTCTCCTTCACCCTGCACTGGTGCCTGGCACCACTCAATAGCCATTAAGCTGATTGCAACTGAGAAAGCACTTTATCCATGTGCCCCATGCTACAGCAAGAGGAAGTTTCCTTGCAGGAACAGGGCTGAGGGGTGCAGGACACAAATGGGGCTGTTACAGAGCTCAGAACAAGTGAAAATTGCTCAGTAAAGTCACTCAGTGTTGGGTGAACTGAAAACCTCCCATTTTCTATCCCTTGGGATCTCTCAGACTCTGTTTTGAGGGGACTCTGGTTTACTTGAAGAGTTGGCAGCTTGATCCTGTTTGGAGTGTTTGGAGCTGGCAATGTCTCTCTATGCCTGGATGCTCTGAAATTTTCAGGGAATTCTTGCATTAAAGGTGAACAATCAGCTGCTTTGTCTTGACACATGAGCACAGGAGGCAAGTTCTTTGTGTGGTGCTCACAGAGCATCCTCCACTCTGCTGGCTGCTGCTGGCAACCTCCCTCTCCAGTAAAACCAGAGCTAAACAGAAAGGAGGAGCAGCCTTGAGCTGAAGCACCAGATGGCAGTTGAAGCCCTGGTGGCAGTTTCCTTCCCTCATTGGTTCGGTCCTCCCTTTTCATTCCTTTATTCCAAGCGAGGCAGATGAAGGAATCTCTTCAATTTTCATCAGGTATTGGTAGACTTTGCTCAGTCAAACTTGTCAAAAACTGCAAAGAGCTGGCAAAAACATCAACACTGAGGTGTCCTGGGCTCAGCAGTGCTGTGAGCCTCTGCTGGGGAGCCCAGCCTGTGTGCTGGTTAAGGAAACACCTGGAGAAGCTGCCTGCCCTGGAGGAACACCCACTTATGCTGAGGCTCGTGGCCCTGCTCCCTGTGTGTGACATCCCCTCTGCCCCCACCCGGCTTCCTCTCGCTCACAGCTGCAGCTGTCATGAACAAATCTTTGTATGATTGAAAAATCTGTACATTTTATTTTTCTACTGACACTCCTAATCCTGGTGGTGATTATCAGTAAATTCTGTAACTCTTGAGGTGAATGAGTGTTGTGTGTTTCTTCTGCAGCAGGACAAGGGTTGTGCTTTTCAAGGGAGCTGCACTCCTGCTTTGCTTGGGGCCATGTGCACCAGAAATGTCCTGGTTCTGGTGGTAAATGCTGTCTGCATTAGGAGCTGGACCTGCATCTGCAGCCAGGCACCCCAGAGGTGACATCTCACTGCTGCTCAGTTGTTGGGGACAGGCTTAGCTGTTGTCCCTGTCCCTGAGGGGACATGCTGGGGCCCTGCAGCCCCTAGGCTTGGTGCTGACCTTTCCCAGCCCCTGGGGCTGTTCCACCCTGGGCCAGTGGCTTTGCTGGGCCAGCATTCAGTCCCTGCACAGCACTTGGGCTCCCCTGGGCGTGCAGGTGCAGGAGCCCACAACTCCCCTGCCTGGTTCTGGCCAACCCCAGGCCAGAGCAGTACCTGCACTGCAGGGCCAGCATTGCTGTTTATGGATGTACAACCTCCAGAGCCTGAGATGGGCCAAACAAGCATTTTGTTGGCCAATGCTTGTGCATTGGTGGGCATTTCCAGGGGGCTGGTAACCATGGTGCCTTCACTGCTCTCCCAGAGGAGCATGCTCCAGGATCAAAACTGGCCTGAAAAATTCACATCCCAAGTCATCAGGAATGCAGGAGGTTTTATTGGCAGTAAAAGGTCAACACGTTCTCTTGGTTTCCTCGTGTGAGGATGATGGGGGGTCTCAGGTCCTGAGAGAGGGTCTCGAGCCAGGCCATGTAGAGGGAGCTGGGGCAGCGGCCCTTCCTGCCGATGGGCGGAGTGCTGCGGCACAGCGGGGAGGGGCGTGAGCAGGGCCGGCACCCAGCCCGACACAGCCCCTTCTCAGTCCAGTGCAGGTTATTTCCCTAAAAACGGGCAACACCACATCCTCCCACCCGACGGGACCCAAGCTGGAGCCCTTGATGTCTTCCAGGGGCTTTTCCCTGTGGTGCAGCACTCTCACCAGAGCATTAGGGTGTCTGTGCAGGACCTCCCCACCCAGGGAGGGGTGAACATCCCGAGGGATGATTCCCATGGGGCAAGAAATAGGCGTGAGGGCATTTCTGGCACCTACATGGCTATGAGTGCTGCATCCCGCGAGTAATCCCGCAAAATCTCATTCAGCCTCACTTGTCGGAGCGACTGTGGAGCAAAGAGCATCAAGAAACACAAAATAATGGTTTCCAGAAAGGCTACATTTTGTCTAAAAAGCAGGAGACCCTTTGCAGGAGCTCCCCTAGGACTGCTGCTACCTTGGCTCTGTTTTTATCGACCTCCTCATCAGAAATCTTCCAGGGACAGCCCTGTCTCATCTCATTCACCGTGGCCTCGTCTTTGAAGCCATCGTTCAGCCTGAAGGGAGCGATGAGTTCATCAAATCTCTTGATGCTGCAACACAAGCAGACAGTGCCAAGGAAGAGTGTCTGGGCAGGTTTGGGGGCGCTGTGGGGGCACGGGGAAGGGAAGGGGGGTGGTTACTGCTCTGGCCGGGGTTTCTGGTTGATGTCAGGGAGGATGTGGACCTCATGGAAGCCAAGGCGGAACTTGCTCAGTAGAGAGACAATCCTAATGGAGGGAAAAGCACATTTTCCCAAAGTTAACAGGGAATGGTAGCTCTCTAACAGGGACCTGCCACAGCAGAGAACCATGCTGCTGGCCTCAGTTTGAACTTTGGGTTTTCCCACTCTGCAGCCACATTGATTTCCAGAGAAATGAGGGAAAGCAGCCAGGTCAGAGCTCACAGACCCCATTATGGCAAAGCTAGGAGGGCTCAGCAGGATGGGAAGCAGCTTGTGTCACCAGCCACAGGACAGTGGCAGTGGCTGAGTGGCTAAGAGCTGCAGTGGCCACCAGCACTTACGCCTTCCTCTCCTCGTCCATCCTGTTGATCTGCCCGCCGACAAACACCCGGATTTTGCACTTTCCCCACCGCTTCTTGCGCCCCAGCAGGTAGGGGATGAGCAGCGTGAGACCTGGCCCCAAAACACCCGGTGGGAATGCAGCAGTGACCCCCAGGCTCACCAGTGCTTCCTTCCTTGGTGCCAAAGGCCAGGGATGCCCTGGCACCATTTGGCAGGACTGAGCCCTCCTGGGCACTGCAGTGGAGGTGCTGGGCTCACATTATCTGGACAGATGGAAGGTGAAGGTTACCTCCATCATCAAAGAGCCAGTAAATGTCAATGGTCTTCTTGCCCTGCTTGCTCTGGAAGATAGTGCTTGCCTGCTGCTCACTGGCCAAGGTGGTGGGGTCCACTGCTGGGGCAAGAGGATCCTGGTATCAGCAAAGGGCACCACCAGCCACAGATTAAAGGCATCACTTCTTCCTGGTCCCAGCCCTGCTCCTCAGGGCTTGAAACCCCCACCCTACCTGCAAAATAATCCTCAGAGCTGGGGATGCTCTGGGTGGTCACAAGCCAGGATCAACCTACCTGTGCCTGGGGCTGCTCTGCTGCCAGTGCCATTCTCAGGGTGCTCTGCTGCCTCGAATGTGGGGTTAACTGAGGAGGGAGGAGAAGAGCAAGGGCAGCACAGCAGTGCCTCACTGTCCCCATCCCCTTTGAGCCCAGCACAGGAGTGATATCCTGCCAGGACTGTGGCCTTTGTCTGGGGACATCGTGCTGGCTGGCACATCCCACAACTCCATGTCTCTGTGCATCCCTGGCCAACCAAAGCCACCTACCATGTGCCTGCAGCACTCGGGAAACATTCAGCCCTTCCTTCATCCGCATTAAGCACACGCCGTACTTGAAATCAAACGCGTCGCTGGAAGGAGGGAGGAGAAGGCAGTTAATGGAGGGTGCACTCTCAGCCCAGCTGGACCCTGCACGCGTGACTGCAGCCATCAGTGGAGCCACCAGCAGGTGCCAGTGTCCCCAAGAGGTGGAGGAGCCAGTGTGGCCGTACTGCAGGATGCCCACGTAGTCCTCCAGGCTCTGGGGAGATGCCGTCTGCCAGTTCCTCTTGTAGCCCAGCACTAAGATGTTAGGTCTCATCTTCCCAAGGCCAGCAGCCTATGGATAGATGTCCCCATGAGACCCCTCTGCAGGGACAGACGGACACAGGTGGTGTCAGTCCACTCCATGGGGGAGCAACACAGGGGGGTGCCTGCAGATCATGGAGGGAGGTCAGAACTCCCCCAAGCTGTGACAAAGAGGAAGGACCCTGCTGCTGGAAGGGCAGTGATGGCTGTACCTGGATGAGCATTTGGACACCAGTTCTCAAATCCTCAGCCACCACATCTGTGTAGAAAGCCTTGATCTTCCTCTTCATTAGCCACTTAGTGTGGCCGTCTGCCATCAGCCGTGACTCCGGCATCTTCTGCTTCCACGGGCCCTGCAGGAATCGGGAGCAGGAGCTCAGGCAGCCCCTTCCAACTGCAACAAGTCTTGCCACCAAGAACTTCTAGCTCCTCTTCCCAAATCATTGGCAAGAGGTGGATGTAACCACTGCACACATGGGAGGTTGCAATCACAGCCAAGAAAGCCAGTGAATCCAGGGAGTCAACAGCCAGTGCACACAATCCCACCAGTCCTGTGGGAGCAGATGAGCTGGTTCTTACTGCACCCAATTGCTCTGGAGACCTCAGGGCTGCAGGACCGCCCTGTCCTCGGAGCAACTACTTCATCTTCCAAATCTTCCGCAATTAATTGTCAAAGGGAAGCCATAAGCCCACAGGGACATCCTGATGCTTCACCAATATTGCTTAACAACTCAGAGGGGCTTCCAGTTGACACATTTCATCATCCAGTAGCACAAAAGTGGGCACATTTCAACCTCCACCCTATATCCACCAGGATACAACTGGATTTCCCAGCCCACCACCCACTGGTGGCCAGAGCCCCCAGGACAAGGAACAAATCAGCTTCCACAGGTGACTCACGATCAGCACGTTGCCACAGAGCATCAGGCTGAGGTTCTTGGTGAAGGTCCCCACAAAATCCACCAGTGCTGGGCGGAAGTTGGGCGGGCCAGTCAGCACCAGGCACTGCGGTCTGCAAGCAGGGGAAGAAGGGAGTGAGGAATAGTACTTTGGAGGCATCCAGCCCTTTTGGAATGAGCCATGTCTCTTCTCCCATGCTTGGCCAGTGGCAACTATAGGGAGCATCTTTAGAATGAGAAAATATTATGTGGCCTGAGTGTCCAGTCTCACTCTTTGGTCTTACACCAGATGAGACCAATGCGTCTGTGTCTGCCTGCCCCTGGAGAGGGCACGGTTTGCCCAGTTTCTACCTTACATGGCACAGACAGGGGATTTTGGAGAAAGACACATTTTGCTGTAGCTCCTGATTACTGAGGGTGGTGGTGAGGGTCTGGCCATGCCTCCCTGGGATTACTGGAGGCAGGAGCTGGCTCTTCATCCCACTCCCTCCATGCCCAGCGCTGCAATGAGCTGCCCTTGCCTGTAGTTCTTGATGTGCTCATCCACTTCACTCAGCCCCACTGAGTAGTTGAGGGCCATGTTGTAGGAGCTGGCTTGCATGGAGGAGCCCCAGTTGACATCTGCATGGGGAAGATGGATTAACAACAGGACCAGACACCTTCTGGAGCATCACCAGTGCCAGGTTACCACCACCCACCCGGCTTTTTGTAGAGGACATATCCCAGGAGGAAGATGACAATGCCGAAGGCAATGAGGGCTGCCCACCAGGTCAGCAGGAACATGATCACCACTGAGACAGCAGCTCCAAAGAGTGCAGCCCACTTGCTGTAATACCGAAAGGATGGTCGCCAGCCTGCACGCAAACACACACACACAGAGCCGCTGCCGGGAGGGGGAGCCGCACCGGGAGCCGCCGCCGCAGGGCGCGGCTGGCGTGGCACAGCCCACCTGGCGAGTTGGTGATGGAGGCGTGGAAGCAGCTGAAGTTGATGAGGGCGTAAGAGCAGAGGAAGAAGTTGGAGATGATGGGGGCGATGGCATTGAGCTCGGCTGTGGGAGGAAGAGAGAGTGAGCTGTCAGTGGTGGAGACTGAGCCACCCCGCTGGTGGCAGGCTGCAGGAGAGTACTGGGGCAGCAAGCACCCACCGATGAGGATAAAGCCAACAGCAATCACATAGGTGAGCATGTAGCCACGGATGGGCTCGCTGTTCCTCCCATAGCCCTTCCCAAAGAAGCCGATGAGAGGATAGAGCTGGTCCTTGCAGAGACACTGCAAAGAGAGACACAGTGGGGACAGCAGGCTTTGCCCGGGACATGGGATGGCAGTGCCGTGGTGGCTCCTGCATCCGTAAGAGCAAGGGCCAAACTGGAGCCATGCCCTGTGTTGACAGCAGCATCCTACTTGCCCCAGGGCTGCTCACGGATGCAGAGCCCTGCACTAAGGAGCACCAGCCACTGCTGAGCTCAGGGAGAGGAGCTGGGGTGTGCAGACACCACCCCCTCACCTGGAAGACTTTGGGGGCTGAGACAAGGCAGGCCAGTGCTGAGGAGAGGGTAGCACCAAAGATTCCTGCTGTAATGAGGGGGCCAAATCCAGACACCATGCTCATGCTCTGCATGAAAACCAGGGGATCAGGAACCCCAGCATCTCTGGTGCACCAACCTCCACCACAACCCTGAGGGATTTCCAGCCCCAGGCCCCATCCTGCTGCATTTCCTTTAACATTATCCAGGCAGCAAAGTCCAGCCACATCCAAAAGCCCACTGCCTGGTGCCTTCCTGTTAAAAAATGGCTGTTTCAAGAGCATGGGTGCCCCCCAGGATGGCAGGGAGGTGCCAGGCATGCAGCTGCCCTGGGAAAGCCATCCATTGCAGCACAAACCTGGCCAGGAGCAGGAACAGGGGCTGGCCATGGTTCTGAGCAGTACCTGGTAGTAGTTGCTGAGCCCATACCGGCAGCTCTGCTGTTGGGCACAGGCAGTGAAGTTCCAGCCGAAGCTGCAGGCCAGCCCCTCACAGCCTGGTGAGCCCACGGCCACGCTGTCATTCAGGCTGCCTGAGGCATCTCGGACCACACAGGCACCTGGGGGGACACACAGGGCTAGAGCAGGGCTGGCACCTCTCCACGGTTTCAGGAAGCCCAGCCCCACATCCCACTGCCTGTGACAACTCCCAAGTCCCTGCCATGGGGCTTTGAGCAATGCCAGGAGCTCCACTGCCCACCCAGGATGACTTTGCCCCAGGTGGGGGTAAAAACAAGGTCTGGCACCTGTGGCACTCACACAGGGATATCAGTGCCAGTGTCCACAGCTTGCTCCTGGCTCCTACGCACCTGCATCCTCCCAGGCCACCCATTTTGGGTAGAGGCCAGCCCACCCACCCAGACCCACTTACCAATGGTAGCAGAAAGCACCAGGTAGGACATGGTGGTCCAGAAGATGGCCATCAAGGTGCCCTTGGGGATGGCCACGGCAGGATCCTGCCCAAGGGAGTTGCAGAGATTTGTAAGACAGCTTTCCAGCAGCAGTGCTAATGTAGGCAGCTTATTTGTGGCTGCTGTACAGGAGGAATTTTAATTCACTGTATCACAAAGCCACAGAGCATCTCCTGGCTGAGCCCAAAGTTTCCATAAGAAATAAAGTCCAAAGGTTGGATCAAAATGAAAGCCACAGGGGAAAAAAGGGCTTGAGCCCTGAGAAACACTGGCTCAGGCAGCAAGAGTCACAACCCACCTTCAGGTCACCTGAAATGTTGGCCCCAGCCAGGATGCCGGTTGCAGATGGGAAGAAAATGGAAAACAAGCCAAAGAAGGAGCCCTCAGGTCCACGCCAGTTGGGCACAAAGTTCTGAGCAAAGATATCAGCTGGGGAAAAAGCAGAGGAGAAGCATTTGAGGCCTCTTGGGTACTTTTTTCCTGGCTAAAGCACCTCAGCACTGGCTGGGTGCTCTCCCCAAACTGCAGCAAAGAGCCAGGCTCCAGAGATGCACTTGGACCTGCTGAGTGCAACCCCAGCCTGTGGCAGACCCACCTCGGTAGCTGAAGAAGCCCTTTGCTTGCTTCTCAGCAGTGGCTGGGATCACTGTCCCCACCAGGTAGTTAATGAAGGAAACCAGGATGACCAGGAAGAACAGTATCTGTGCCTGCCAGACCAGAAAGAGCCAGCTGAAGGATTGGGTGTTTAGGCACAGAAAGAGTGAAGAATGCATTAGGAGAAACCCATGCCCATTATTAGGAAGCTACAGGCATCCTCTGCTCCTCAGATGGCTGCTGGCCAGCAGGGACAGCTCTTATCAGCCCAGGAGAAAAATGCGAGCAGGAGTGAGGGTTACCTTGGCCTCCCATTCCATGCCAGCCAGGGAGATGCCCAGCAGCACCGTCACAGTGATGACCCCGATGATTCGGATGTCGTTGGTGGGGTCCACGATGAGGGAATTGTGCTCCTGAGGAAAGGGAACTACTTACAACATGGAAATAACCCTCTTCCTTACCAAACCACTGGTTTTTCTGTGAGTTATAGCAGCCACTGTTTGATTATCAGTGGTCCAATGATAATGCAAATATTGATAATCAACACAGGTTGTGCAAGGAGAAAGTGGGGATGGAGGGGTAGGGGGGGCATTGGGACCCAGAGGACAGAGAGCTGCTCCCTTACCTGCAGCAGGTCCCGGACAGTTTCAGCAAAGCCCACTGTGTGCATGGCCACAGCCACAGCGTTTGCAAAGGCAAAGATCAGCCCGATGGAGCCGCCCAGCTCCGGCCCCAGGCTCCGCGAGATGAGGAAGTAGGTGCCTCCTGAGGCAGGGAACACCCCATGGCATTACTGCTTCCCCCACATTTTTGGGGTTCCCCCACACTTCACAGCCCATGCCAGCAGCTCACATCCATGGGGCAGCCCCAGGATAAAGAGATCCCTGGAGTGGCTGGGAAGGAACACACTACCTGACTTCACTTTGCCATTGGTGGATATGGCAGAGATGGACAAGCCGGTTATTGTGGTCACTGTCACAGACATGAGGATGATGAGCCACGTCAGGGCTGTGGGGAAAGGGCATTGCTTCACTGCTGTATCCCCCCAGCCTTCCCTAGAGTCCCACCACCCCCAAGGTGATGATGGGCCCAGTGCCACTGTCCAGCCCATGGTGAACTGCAGCACCCACCGATTCCTGCCTGGGCGGTGATCCAGGGCAAGCGCAAGTAGAGGATAACTCCCCAAATGTTCAGCATGCAGCGGATCTGAGGGGGACAGAGGGGACCTGGCCATCAGGGCATTGACACCTGGGGATGGCCAAACCATCCAGCTCTGCTGCTCCTCAGAGAAAACCACCACACCGAGGAGCGCAGGGAACTGCTCAAAGCACACGTGCTTGCAAAAATATAGACGTTGGGGAAAAATGCAACAAGGGTAAAATGCTTATGAGGTAGGAGGGCAGGAGGATGCTCGTGGGGGATGGGTCACACTCACCATGACGCCCTTCACCCAGCCAAAGCGGACAGGTTCGGGCTCGGAGTCTCTGCCTGGCTCCCCTTCTGCCTCCTCCAGCCCAGCCTCCGGCCCAGCCTCTGGCAGGCCATTGCTGTGCTGCAGGTCCGACACCGGCGTGCGAAGGCGGCCCGGGTCAGGCTGTGGGACGAGGGGAAGGTAGGTGAGGGTGGACTTCAGGCAGCTGTCCCTGGAGGCAATGCTCTGGCTGAGCACACAGCTGGATTCTCTGGCTTCTCTCAGGGCCTTCTTGGGGATATGCAGTCGGCACAGCACCAGTAATGGCACCAAGAGGCAGGAGACAGAGTGACCCACCACAGATGCTTCACAGGGACCAGCAGCATGGCCAGGGGATGCCAGAGATGCTATGGGTACAGCAAAGCCCCCTATTACCTTGAGGATGGAGTGCAGGTCAGCCAGCGAGGGCCTGCCCTTCCTGGGGTCGCCCACCCCCTTGCTGTTGGCATAGTGCTCATAGGCTGGCACCACATCCACCGTGTTGTAGCCGAAGGTCCTGGTGCAGAGGGTGCTGCTGGACAGCTGGGTGGGCTGGACACTGTCACAGCTGGACCCCTCAGTGGGTGTGTAGGGACCCCGGCCCCCCTCCTCCATGCCCAGGAAGGTGCTGATGGTGAAGCGGCCGCTGCAGCGGGCCGGGGGCAGATCTGGGATGGGCAGCTCGGCCATTGCCCCTGCCCAGCAGCCTGCCAGGGGGACAGGGTGGAGAGGGGCTTGCCGGCTTTATACCCCGCAAAACCGGAGCGAGGTGACCGGCACACACCCACCACTGATGCTAATAGAGGAAAGGAATCAGCTGGAACCACCCCGAGCTGGTCAGGGGGAAAAAAATAGCTGGAAGGGATACCAAAACCACCATAATGGGCATCACTGCCTCCCAGCGCTCGATGGGGGCAGCGATAACGGATTTGAGATTAAGTCCCAAGGACAGATCAGCAGAGAAATGCAGCGCTGAATTTGCCTCCGGCCCCAACCCAGGAACATTCAGTTCACAGGGATTTATTATGGAAAAAGGGAGTAAGACTCCCACGCACCCTCGCCCTTCCCTGGGATACTGCCCCAGACCCGTCAGATCTCGTAAATCATCCTGGCTGGTCTCCAAGATGCCGCCTGTGGCACTGAGCTGGGCCGGATGTGGGGAGGGGAACGGCGCCTTTATCTCACAGTGAAACCAGGGGGAAGGGGGGGGAGTGTGACATCAAGGGATCTGAGGGATGCTCCTGCTGGAACTCAGATTCCAGGCTGCTGGAGAAGACAGGGTGCACAGAGGGGTGTAAGTCTGTCTGTGCTTGTCCAGGGCTGGGAGCTGGCAGCTCTCAATACCAGGCAGCAGAGAGGCCCATGGTCCCACAGCCCCCTTCCCCTCCAGACCCAGGGACAGGGTACCAGTGAGCCCCCAGGGCTCAGAACTGGCCCCAGTCCCACCCTGAGTCAACAAGCCACTTAAACCCTTGCTCCCATCACATAAAACAAGAGCTGAAGCTGTGTGGCAGTAACCCCACAGCCACAGGAGGCGAGGACAGGGGGAGGGATGGGCGCTTGTAACACTCCCCAGCCCCTGTCACATGTGCCACCAAAGCAGTTACAGATAAGATCAGCAAAGACAGCAAACAAGGCCAGCAATAAAATTCGAGGGCAGTCCATTGGAATTTCAGCTCCGTGTGGCTTTGCAAGTTAATGGAAAATTGGGCCTGGCTGCCGAGGTGCCTCTGGCTGTCTTTGCATTCACACACAAATTTTGACCTATTTTTGAGGACTTGCTCCAGCCCCCTTGTTTGTGTGAGGGCAGACGGCCGTGATCACCAAGCCCTGCGCAGCCGGGGGAAGCTGAGGGCAGCAGCCCGGTCTGCATCCCTGCTCAGCCCTTCCAGCACTGCAGAGCACCTGGGAGCCCAGAGCAGGGACAAGGGTGAGGTGGGGACGAGGAGAGAGCCTCACCCCAGAGCACCTCACACAACAACCTCCACAAAGTGGACACCAGCTTCCTCTCACAACAGATGCACCAGCAGACTCACACCCAGCAGAAGTGGCTTTATTTTAGAACCTCACTGTTTCATCAAAACCGCTGATTTGCCCAAAGCAGCACAAATCAGTCCCTTAAGTGGGGGGTCTGTTAAACACCGCACATTCAGAGATGCTCCGGAAGACACAGGAGGGCTCCAGAGGCGGGCGAGAGCGAAGCGAGTGGTATGATGCAACCCTGGTGTGGTGAAATAGCCGGATTGTAGGAAGCGCTTGCCGTCGGCCTGATTCACAACACCAGCTGCAGCAACAATACCGGGGCAGCGGCGGCGCTGGGAGCTGCGGCAGGGAGGGAGCTCTGCAGCCTCCCCCCAGCCCCTCCACTCACATGAAGAGGCGCCGAGTTGTTTCTGCAAGGCTTTCCCTCACTTCCAGCCGATCCCCCAGTTTGGTCTGGATATTAAATGCATCAAATGAACCCAAAATCGAGTCAAGCAGAGCATGGTGCAGTGCATTACACAGCTTCTTTTAAAGACTGCCTAAGTGTTACATTCCAAAAGGCTTTAATGAAGCTTTAACTGACTCATTTCCATCCCTGTGGAAGAGGGAACCTACCCTGAGTGACACAGGACACACGAACGATGCAGGGGCTGCTCAGCACTGCAAACCCTCTGTGCAGAGCAGACTCAACTTATCAGCACCACAGCAAAGGAAGCCTGTGAACAGAAAAGAGATGGTTATTCAGCCAGCTGCCAGTAACCTTTCCCAGTGGGAACACACAGGTCATCTCCCATCTCTTCCACACAGAGTTTCCATCTTTCCAACTTCAAACCCGGAGAGAAAGAGAACAAAAATGCTGGTACAGGGACATGAATAGAGGCAGTATTTGAGTGCTGTCCCACCCCAGGGACATGGAACTGGAATGAACAATATCCTCTTCTTCCAGGCTGGAAGGAAAACATTTTGCTTCTTTGATAGGCTGGGGTGACAAGGGTTAGGAGAGTAACAAAACCAAAAGAAATTATTTATTTTTTTCTGAACACAATTCCTTCAGCTCCTGCAAGGAACAAGGTCCAAGAAGTGTCTTAGACAAAGGCAGTCAGTAGTAGTAGGAAATGGTGGTGAACAGAGCAGCCACCTCATTTAGCAGGTCTACTCCAGCCAGATGGTCTGGAAAACATACTGAAAAATCAGATTGAGATGCACAATCTGCATTCAGCAGGGAAATCCAAGCAAAGGCAGAGGAGTAGGAACGTAACCCATAGGCAAGTACCCTGACTTTGGCCAGCATACTCTGGGGTAATAGTGAAAATACTTAAAAGGATTCATTTTGTTATCTGGACTAGAAAAACCTCACAGAGACAGCTGAGAAGACAGGACTCACTGACACCAGCTTTCTGACAGTGTTTAGGCCATCGAGGCACATTTCAGCAGTGCCACTTCCCACAGGAGCTTACTGTCTTCCCTTAGCTCAGTGTAGTTTTTACCAGGTTAACCCTGGGCAGAACTTTTAACTAATTTTTCCCTATTGGGCTGGTAACATAGAGCAGAAGTTTACAGAGAGTATTTCTAGATTTCCCTGCAACTCCCCTGTAAATCCAGACCACCTCACTCAGCCCTTGGTCCTTGGAGGAGGTGCAGCTCTGGGAGCTGCTGTGCTGGAATTGCAGCATGTGTGGATGTTTCAGAACCACAGAGCCACACAAGCTGTGGGGGACAGACCTGGAGACTGCCTGCCTCTGCTGCATCCACACCAGAACAAGATTGTAACACACCCTCACAGCAAACACCTTTTCACTTTTTCCTCTGATCTCCTGCAGCAACACAAGCTTCAGCTGTATTTGACTCAAACCAATGAGTCACCCTTGGAATGCATCTCATCTACCTGGAGGAGCTTTAGTGCCAGGGATTAGTCTCAAGGTAAGAAAAAGCAGATGGAATTATCCTGAACTTAATTTGCGCTTGCTTTGTGTATAAAGAGCAGAGCTCCACTGACTTAGAGAAGATTTGTCAGTTTTGATTCAGGATGAATTCAGCTCAGATGAACATCCCTGGCTCTGCTGCACACTGTGCACTATTCCCTGTTGTAAAGGGAGTGCATGGTGACACCACCATTGAACAGGCTACACCAAACAAAAGGCATGAGTTTAGTGACACCCCAAAAAACCCTTCCAGCACATAAGCTATTCAGAAAAGGCTAAGCTTGTAAATTAGCAAAGTCAGAGTGATGGTGCAAAACCTGAGGGAGCAGAAGCTGATTGTTCTCTCCAGCAGAATAAGCACGAGGTGGAAGGAAAACAGGGACATCTGGAAAACCATGGGGGTGCCTTATTCAGCAAAGCACCAGGATGTGCATCAGCATCTACCTCAAAGCCCTTGAAGTCATGCAGAGGAGTCAGGTTTGCCAGAGCCAGGCTCAGGCACTGAGCTGGAACCTGCCACTCTGGGGAATGTGGGAAGATGGATGGGATGTAACATTCACCACCTAAGAAGAAATCACAGGGCAATCAACAAGTAATAAACTAACTCCAAATATCTGTGGCTCTTTCTGTTATACCCACAATCTTTTATCTTGATGGAAATGGGGCTGGTCTTACCTTTTCAGGGTTAGTCTCGGGACTTGGACTCCCTGGGGTTTATTTCCCATTTGTCTTTCACAGAAGGATCATCTTGGATTTTGAAAGCATGAAATATTCAGTTTCTGATTTGCTTAAAAAGTGACCAAAGGCTGGAATCACAACCACTGGGCACAAAGAGAGGAAACTATATACAGATATCAACTTTCCCAACACCCAAGAAGGCTGAGAAGCACCAGAAAGCACCTGCTCTAGCCTCCTCGAAGGGCAGATGGAGAAAGGGTACTGTACTGCTTACAGAAGGTGCCCAGGTTCAACACTGGACATCAGAACACGCCAGGGAGGCAGCATGATAGCTCTCCTGAGCAGGGGATGGGCAAGAGGCAGCAGAACAAGGTCCTGAAATGGCAGCACTAAGAGCTGAGCCTCAAAGGACTTCTGTTCCTGCATGAATGGCAGATCAGGGAGAGAGAATTACAGTGGGGAAGGTGGCCCTCACCCTTGCCAGAGTCCAGCAAACATTGTCCCTCTCTTGCTCAGGTCAGTGGTTGCCTGAGGACAGGTGCAGACTTGCCAGACTCTCTGTAGGGGAGGTGGTTTCATGCTGGGAGTAACTCAGGGACAGGCTGAGCACCAGCAAGGAGAACACAGGAGCAGGATCATCCTGCAGGACTGCATCTGGGGCAGCCCTGGCCCCAGCACCTCTGTCCACAAACAACAGGGAAGGCTCCTGTTCTCTAGGGAATGGGATCAATTCTTACCTGAGATATGCCAAGAAGCATTTCCACACAAATATACCAGAAATGTTAACAGGCAATACAGCTTTCCACACTCACCTGTTGACAAGTTTGTTAGGCAATTCCAGGCCACTCCCACCCCAAATAACTCCTTGGTAACTCACCAACTCCCCTTTACCTGCAGGGTGTTGTCCAGGTCTCCCTCAGCCTTCAGTTGGGACATCCTGGCCATGCTAGAGGAGCACTCCATGCTGTACACAATCCCTAGCTCTATCCTCTGAGACCCCAGCAGCTGGTTTGCTAATGCCCACAGACATGGACTGGGGTGGCTGGCAAGCCCTTTGCTTCCTGTCCAAAGGGTGGACAAAACTTATTCTACAACATTTCTGGTGAA